GGGTCAGGTGGGGGAGGCGGGGGGGACTCTCAGAGGGGACATCCTGCTAGTGTCACAGCTCAAGCAGTTGTGCTCAGGAAGATCAGGACCAGTTTGTTATACTGAAGGCATCTGAAGGAAGGAAGGGAGGGTCGCTTTAACCCCGCCCCCCGCTTCGTCCCGCTGCGGAGGAGCAGGCTGGAGTTTCACAACAAACGCTTCGGACAGGCAGAACTTCTCCGGACGCCGAAATAAACTCACTGGTCGAGTGTGTCAACGAAAAGATACGAAAACAGAAGGAGGAACAAAGCACCTATAATAAAAACCATGAATGCTAGTATGGCTACTAACGTGGAAGACCGGCCAGACTAACTAGTTTGATTATTCTGCTAATAAATATATTTAATATTGACAATGGCTCAAAGGATAATCTTTGATATGAAACAAGTTGCCATGAATCCAAAGAAAAGCCAAGGCAATAAAATCTCAGTGTGCATTCTTAACTGATTATTTTGTCCTTATTAAACTACAGCTCCCATGAGGCTCAGTGAGAGAAGCACTTCTAAAGCCTCATGGGAAATGTAGTTGGTTGAATGCTAACAAAATAATTGTGTCATCTTTGTTTTACAAATACAGTGAAAACTAGTAGAACAGGAGCTAACGGGGACACAGGGCGGGACTTTGGCTCTTTGACAACTCCAGAACAAGTGTCCAAAATATGAGTTACTGCAGCTTTAATGTGGACAGCAAAGTGTTTTAAAGTTAGCAAGCTGTTGTCTCGAACATTTGGCTCTTGCTCAATAAGAGTTCTTGACACATATTACAGGAAATATAATATTTTTATAAATGTTTTTTGATAATAAATGATTAAATAACTATGACTTTAAAACAAATACCAAACAGGAAGTGGTGTACTGATGTCAGTTTGGATGTTTAGTGTTGAACATCATTGTTTTATTAGTGAACTGCTAAAGCACTGCAGACAAAAATGAGCTTCAAGGTAACTTGAATACAACACTTACAATGTACACTGTCCCTTACTACTACTACTACCACTAATAATAATAATAATAATAATTGATAATACTTTACTAACTAATAATACTAATAAGACTGATATATGTGTGGCATAGAGCGCCATTGTCCAACAACTATTAAAAACACATCAGTGAGTCACTGTTGTGAAACTGTGTTTGAACCAACTGGCTACAGACAGGAAGCAAAAAGTATTGAGAGACGGACTAACACGTTGTATGTTTTGGTATTTTCATGGGATTTGCCGACAAGAAGAAAAATATAAAACAGCGCCAGCCTTATTGCCTAAGATTGTATGAACTACTAGCTAACTAGAATAAGTAGATAACAGTGGTGTCTTCCAAAAATGTGCCTATCACATGTGACATCATATTTGTTTCTGTTGCAAAGTGCATAGATCATTCAGTGGACAAAATCTGATCATGTGACCAAACATTGATGTTAGTGAGCCAAAAAAACAACAACAACAACAACAAAACAAAACAAAGAAACGGTGTCGGTTAACTCGAGCATTCAGCTGACTCTTTGCCTCCAGAGCAGCTCTGCCTCCCAGGAAGTTCCCGTCAAAGTAAAACTCCAACCTGCTCCTGAGTGGTTTCTGACCCACCACAAGTCTGTAACGCTGTAAGTAGGCCAGATGAATCAGAAAGAAACCTACAGGTAAAAATGCTAAGCCTGCATATGATCGCTGCATGGGAGAACAAATGACCGACTTTACCCCAATTAGACTTCACAACAGTTAGTTGCCATGATATAGATACTCTTTGTAATATATGAGAAGCTGTCTACAGATGAACAGAGGTCGCGTGGGTAGGAGCCCTGATTCAGAACAAGTTTTTTTTTTTTAACCTGAAATAAGATGAAGTTAATCAAGAAGTGTGAGGTGAGATTTACTGTACAGGATATTAACAGTACACACTGTAGTTTTGTACAGGAAGTCAGGAGCTTAACCGAGTGTTACCCTCTTGGAACAATTCACTCAAAACCACTACTAACTAAGTAGTGTACCCTGAACTCTCAAACAAAGTTGTGCTTCACCCGAACCTGCTCGCCTCTGATAAATGTTTCTTTTCAGGGCCAGCAGGTCATTTCCAATACGCAATAAAACCGCCCGCCTACCAGGGTCAGCATGAGAACAGCAGTTCATAAACCGTGGCTGCTGCAGGAAGCCGCGAACCGGGCTTCATCGGCGCGGCTCGTTATATCAGCAGAGCAGCAATTCTTCCGCAGCTGTGATGAGCGAATGAAATCTGGGTCACGTCAATACACATCCGGGCTCCGCCGTCATCACAGAGTCTCGCTGTCTCCTGATCAAAGAGCACTGAGACTTGTGTGTTCAAATCATACTTTGGTACAAGTAAGAAAAGAAAAATCAATATTCATAAACTTTTTATCTGACACCCACAACACCTTGCGCTAATTAGCAAGTCTACCCAGCTCCAGTGAAGGGCCAAAATTACTGCAGATGTGATTCTTTTCCTGAAGTGTCTGCCGGCTAAAAGTAGGATATGATGTTTTGCATTTGATGGGGGCAAAAATGTAGCATTGTGTGTAATTCTGCGCGTGTTGGCAATCTATGAGTATCTGCACATTGTGTGTGTGTGTGTGTGTGTGTGTGTGTGTGTGTGAGGTAAAAGGGAGGGGGGGGGG